AAGAAGTATTTCAGGCGTGGATGGTGGAATTCACATACCAAGAGAAGAAAACAAGCGTCAACATATAAAAATCCAAGTACAAGATAGATCAAAGAAAGTCTGAAAACTTACCACCTTGTAGTGAGTAGCCGCTCGGGCTCCGAGCTGAGCAACCAGTAGTTCGGCCCAACTAGCAACCTCCTCAGCAAACACGGCAAACAGAGGAGACCCATCCAATCTCAAGAAACCCATTCATCCAATCTCTAGCCATCGTATTCCTCATTCACAAGTTCTGAACTTTTACTATGGGCGTTGCCTTTTACGGTGTAAAGTGGGCTTTGTCGTGCTGGCCCGCGGGCCATTACAGCCCGGACTGGCTTGTGGGTCGTGCCTTGGGCCAGGTCGGCCCGTGCATCTGGCCAAAGCTATTTATTTAAAAAATTGACAAAAAACTTAAAATTTTAATTTTAGTGGCGATTGTGGTGAGGAAAGAACAAACCAGGGGATAGGGAAAGTGTTTAGGAAGACTCCCACTACCATGAACTTTTGTTGCCACTGTCAATGAATTTTGGGGAACTCCTACTAGATGCAGCTTTCTCGATCAGGTTTCCATATCAGATCTAGTGTCTCTAGAGTTCTCAATAATGGTTACCACATGAGGTTGGAGGTTCATGCTTGTTGAGTTGGGTATGATGGCGACAATCTTGTGATTGTTGTCTACTGATGCCCAAGGAAGATGAAGGTAGACAGATGCCTTGTCATGACTGGAGTCGATCATGGGAAGTGGTGATAGGAGACCACAGTAGCTTGTCGTCTTGATTACARCGGCAAATAGGAGGTTGGAACAAGGTCCTTGTAAATCTCTACAAATCTTTTCCTTCAACTACCATCCTTAGCTCTCACCTAATGAAATTCTCGGAGATCAGAGATGGTAACCAGAGATTCTAATATAAGCACCATGGTAAGGCAGTGGTTCGTACACTCTCTATTATCCATTAAACTCTTACTTTGCTCTTTGCTTTCTACTTTCAACTAGATCTGCTGACTCGGCACTAACTTGACGATTGGGCCCTCATGCCTAGGTCCACAACCTGGGCACTCTAACACCATCTCCCTTGTAGAAATAGCTTAAGAGACCTCACCCAACTCATCTTTCTAGCAATGACAAGAGCAAATCGAGCAAATCAAAAACCATAGGCACCCTCTAAAAGACTAATTGGTTTGTAGTCTTTTAATTCAAGATTGCTCTCTTTCTAAGGGATAACATCTAAAATGGTAGAACTAATATTCCAATTACATTGCAATATTTGTTGTATATTAAATCAAAATTATAAGCAATCATATTAAAGACATCACATAGTCTAATTAATTTTCAATAGTTCATGTTACACAATATGTACTTATCATAAAAGTCTTTAACAACATTAAAGATATCAATGTCACATTTTGCTTTATTATAATTCATTCACCTTCATGTTATCTTACTACATTTTCCATAGAATGCACCATTTTGCCTAAAGTTAATTCTTGGTTCATTTAGGCATTGTGTTTGAGAAGCCAGACACAACCTTGGGATTTGGTGTGAATTCAAACTTGTAGAAAGGCAAGCTCTCCAAGTGAAGGCCAGTGGGCCCATATATAGCAGATCTGGACTTGCTTTAATCTCATGTCACTATTCTCTTTTTTAGAGAATGACTGTTCAGCCCAAGGTCAGAATTTTTAGGCCCAAAATACAGTTGGGATGGGTACCAACTTGAAATTGATGCCAATTCACGGGCGGGCACTAGTATATAGAGTGGGGGATTTTAAAATTTTGACATTTTGAATGTTTATAAGTCTATAGTAGAAATCAAAAATCTGCATTAAACCTGTCTGTATTTCTCCATTTCTTTTTCTGTAGAAATCTATTATGACCACAGTTAAAAGGCCTTTTACTTATGACTAGTAGTCATAACCCAACTGGGGTCTATGACAAGCCATCTTTTGGATATCTAAGGATAAAAAATATTAGTCCCCGACTATAATATTTGGGCCCCAACTATAATATGTCCCTATTAGCCTATCCTTGAAATATATTACATATAACAAGACGGGAAGGCCCGAACCCATTCCTGGGCCTCAACTTAGGAAGTTATTTGGGTTTAAAAGGCTTGAGCTCACTGGTGTTATAGTGGGCCTTTTCTTTATAACTTAGTCCGGCCTGCTAATGGGTTCCATTACTGAATGGGCTGATTTAAGTATAATTGTTTAAATTGATTTTAACCTTAGAAAATAAGTTTTGAAAAATTGGAAATTTTTCCTAATTTTTAATGTTTACATCAATTACAAATATTTCCTAATTTTTAATGTTTTCCTAACATTATAATTGAATTCCRGCCGCCTGAAAAGCAAAAAGTCTTTGAATGATGCTGTGTTTGTGCAAAATTCAAAGATGCTGAAACTGTCGGCAGGGCAGCGTCATCATCTTATCCAGCTCTCCAAGGTGTGGTGGAGGTGAATGCTGACTTGGTCCAAGTCTTTGAGTTTATTATTCTATTCCAAGTGCTTCTTTACATTATTGCCCTTGCACATGGGTTTGGTTGAATGAACC